AAGGCCGCCACCATCAAGTTTGTCTTTTTTTTTCCTTTTTTTTTTTTTTTTTTTTGCTAACCTGAACTACCTAGCAAGACCTTGTCTCAACCCCACCCCCAAAATTAGATACAAAAATCATACTGGAGAGAAGAGAAATTAGAAAAAATAATTGTTTAAAGAATAACCTTTCAAATAATTATTTTCAAAGGTATTAAGTTACCAAAGTACACAGTGAATGATATTTAGGGATCTAACTCCATCTCATATTTTAGACTCATAAAAGGATGATGACATTTGATAATCTATTTTCTATACTTTGCACTGATTGGATTTTTGCAATTTGTAGATTGCTTACTTACTTATTTATTTTGGGTTTTGTGAGATGGTGTCTCACTGTAGTTCCAGATGGTCTTGAATTCACTATGTATCCTAGGCAGCCTCAGACTTGTGGCAATCCTCCTGCCTCAGCCTCACAAGTACTGGGACTATAGGTGTGCATCACCATGCCTAGTTTAGACTGTATATTTAATGCTGCTTCATTTCTATTGAAAAAAGCAAATCTTAGACCCCACTTTTGAGTCAGTTCTTTCTCCTTGAATATTTATATCTCAGGGAATCAAATCAGCGTCTAGTGGATATACAGTTGTATGGCACCTTGTGATGATGGATGCCCTTTTAAATGAATGTACAAAGTTTGTAGGGCTCTACTTTTTCATAGTCTAATTTTTTATGTACTACTTTCATGGTGTTTATTACTTTGGAGCACTTATACTAGAAGGTACTAAGTATTTACTTTTTATTGTACTTATTACACAATGAGTACATGACTTGATATGCTATTTAAATTTTTGCTGTTAAATCATTAATATAATTAGAAAATTATTAAAATAGAAAGCATTTATGTCGGGCCCCCCTGCCCATCCCAATAGAACCTAGGGCCTTTGTTCTGAGCAACATCCACAGTCCTGGGCCAGCGACTTAGCTCAGTGGTGCTGCCACCTGCCTTGCAAGCACAAAGACCCAAGTTTGATTCCTGGTACCAAAAAAACTAAACCATAACAAGAAAACAGTCCGTTTTGTTTTTATTTTGTGATGGAGTTTCACTAAGTCATTAAGTTGCCCAAGCTGGGCACCTGAATTTGTGATCCCCCTGCCTCAACCTCCCAGAGCACATTGGCCACCTCTAGCTGTGCAGGAGATTTTTTTTTTTTCTCAGTACAGGGGATGGAACTCAAGACCTTATGCTTGGGAGGCAGGGGGCAAAACTACTGAGCTAAATGCCTGGCCTCATGCCACCTCTAATCTCCATCTTAGAAGAATTTATTGCTTCCTCTGTTATCTCCTTTCCCTTTGGTTGGTTGGTTGTTTTGTGCTGGGGATAGAACCTCTCAGACAAGCTAGGGAAGTGCAGTACCACTGAACCACACCCCCCAACCCTCTTTCTGATTTTGTGTGTGTGTGTGTGTGACCAGGAATCAAACTCAGGTCCTTGTGCTTGCGAGGCAGGCAGTGGAACCACTGAGCCAAATCCCCCGCCCCTTTCTGATTTTTGCTTGGAAGACTTAATGTCTACTTTATTCATGTAGCACAATTTGGCGGGATTTCTAAGTATATATACAAGCCTATATTCAATCTCTTGTTTAATTAGCCTTTTATTTTGATCCCTGAGGGTATGAGTTTTTTCATCTTTTTTTTTCTTGTTTTTAATCATACTAACTTATTGAAGTGTGTTACCTATAAAGCTCTGGTCACTTCTATTTGGGAGGATGCTACTGAAAATAATATTTTATTGGAAGACAATTAACACATAAAATATTTGGAAAAATGGTATTCAGAGTCATAGTTGTGAACTAATACCTATTTTCAAAAGTTGTTTACAGGGCTTAGAGCACCTGCCAGAGGATTATTACTCTTTGGTCCACCTGGAAATGGCAAGACAATGCTGGTAAGAATTATTTTCAAAGTTAAGTTTTCTGTTGAGATACTGGAAAAAATATGGGAAAAAGAAACTTCACATTCTCCCTGAGTCTATACTTTTATCATTTGCTTTTATCATCTATACTTTTATCATTTTTCATATTCTTGTTACTAAACTAGTTTTCATTGCGGAAATAAATGGAAAACTGTATTATCCTCAGTAGTATGGTTTTGTTTTTTAAGAGAAGCTTACCCCTACTGTATTGAATATCTTTCTAACTCTTAATATTTTGCTATCTTAATAGTTTTATTAAATAATAAGTACATGTAGCTCTTTTTCAGTATTCTTTCACCAGAAATTAGTAGCGATATTGAGATACCTCTATTCTCTGCATTGCTCTTCTAGATAGAAAAAACAAATAGGAAAAGTAACTTTTTTATTAGCTTTTTATTTATTTATTTATTGGTGGTACTGGAGCTGGAACTCAGAACTTTGCTCTTGTCTGTCCCACTGTTTATATTTCTCTAACGAGTTATTTTTCCATTTTTGAGAGATTAGCACCCCACTCACCCATGCTTTCTTAGAACAAAATAAAAAGAAGCGCAGTGTTTTCCAGAACTTTTTCTCCTACCAAAAAGAAGCATATTCATTGCCATATGTGGGAATTGAGTTGTACATTTTTAGAAAGTCTGTTCTAACACTTTAAGTTGATTAAATGTCACCATCTTTTTAAAGCAAAATACTGAACTAATATGTCTGTCCTTCTGATTTTAAAGGCTAAAGCAGTAGCTGCAGAATCGAACGCAACATTTTTTAATATCAGTGCTGCAAGTTTAACTTCAAAATATGTGAGTTTTTTCCAGTATTGTCGTGTTTTAAGTTGCTGTTTAAATGTTACTGTGTTTTGTTCTCATCTTAAAGTTGTGAGTATAGATCACAGCCAACTTAATGGTTGGCTGTAACACAAACCTAAAAGACTGAGCAAATGGATGCAGAATCCCTTGTTCTACTAAAACCTGACAAAGTTAACAGGTTAAAAAAAAAAAATTAAAAATGTTACTATGTTAAATATAAATGATATTTCCCCAAAATAATTTTCTGTGAGTTTTATATCTATTATTTACACATGCTGAGTATTGGCCTTCAGTGTAAAAAATTAAGTACATTTGTTAGGCTTTTTAAAAATTAGTATTGTATTGTGAAATACATATTAGTTTGGTAGGGCTGCATAACAAAGTACTATAAACTGCTGTCTTAAACATCAGAAATTTATTGTCTTGTAATTTAGAATCCTGAAAGTCCAAGTTCAAGTGTCAGCGGAGCTAAGCTAGTTCCTTTCGAGGCTGTACAGAGGATGTGTCACATGCCTCCGCTTCTGCTGGGTGGCAGCAAGCTTTGGCATTTTGTGGATTGTAGATGCCTCACTTCAGTTTCTTCCTTTCTCATGGTGTTCTCCCTCAGTGTGTGTTTTCAAATTTCTGCTTTTTATGATGACACAGTCACACTGGATAAGAGGTCTCAAATTATCTGCAACTCTTTCCAAATAATGTCATGTTCAGAGGTATCAGGGATAGGAGTTCAACATGTTTTGAAGAAACACAGTTTAACCCCTGACAAATACCATCTTTTTCCACGTAAGCTTCAAGTAAAGTGGCTTTACTCTTAAGGACGCATACCATCTGAGAGAAGAATTGATGGTCTAAACTGATTGTTTTTGGCTTTCTTGTACTGAACTAAAATGTGATGTAAGTTTTTTTTTTTTTGAGATGGGGTCTTGCTGTGTAGTTCAGGCTTGAACTTGAGGTGATCCTCCTGCCTCAGCCTCCTATATGCTGAGATTACAGGCTTTAGTATTTAAAATGTTCTCAATTTGTAAAGCAATTAAAATGGTGCCTCTTTTCCTGATCACATTTTGCTTTCTGTGTGAAAGTTCACCAGCTGATATAACAGGTTATGCCACATTTCAAACATAATATAATGGACAACACTGTCTTGGAACTTAGGAGAGGAGAGAGTCCAACCTACCTTTTAACATCCTGAGATGGCCTTAAGAAAATACTATCTGCTTCATCGATAAGATGTTAATGTCATAAGAAATAAGGTTCCTTCCAACTCTGAAAATACTTGTTTTGGTGATTACAAATCTGGATGGGACCGTTTGTGTGCACGAGTGCGTGTGTAAAAAACTGAACTATATATCACCAGTCCCTTTTATAGTAGAGTGTTGCTAAGTTGCTCAAGCTAGCTTCAAATTTGCAATCCTGCTTCAGAATCCCAAGAAGCCAGGATTACAAGCATAAACAACTGGGTGTGGTAGTGCACATGTGTACTCTCAGCACCTTGGGAGACTAAGACAGGAGGATTGCATGTTTGAGCTCAGAGCCTTGTGCATGCTAGGCAGGCATAAGCACCTTACTACTGAATTGCATACTGAGCTTTTTATTAGTTTTACTTTTCACTTTTTTTTAAAAAATTTTTTTTCCTCATTGAGTTTACTGGCACATTTTAGGTATACAGTACAGTTACATTCATCATTGGGTTACTTTTCACTTTGAACCAAGATCTCACTAAATTGCCCACGTTGGCCTTGAATTTAGCATCCTCCTGTCTCAGCCTCCTGAGTAGCTAGGATTTTAGGCATGTACCAAAATGGCCATCTTGTTTGTTTTTAAGGGATAATTTCAATAGAAGGATAAATGCCACCCAGAGGACAGAAGAGTTTTTACAGCATATTCATGACCTTTTAGTTAGAGTAATAGACTTCATGGCCCCTTTATTTGATACTTCGATGCATAGAATGGCCTGAGTCATGGTGAATTGAGTATTTGGTAGTGTTTCTAGGGGTATTTGCTGCCCTCCTGTACTATGTAGACATATTTTGTTTTTTATTGACAGTGGTATTGTGAGAATGAGTTTCCAACATGTCCTAATAGGACAAGTTTTGTTTGCAAGAACACTTTCCCACTCACTCACTTCTGTAAAGGTGACCTGTGGTTTAGGGCGTAAGGAGTATGTGCAGTATCTCTCTACCTTAGTATTCCTTCTTTTCACAAGTGATACCTCAGGTAGTAGCTCTTCAGTCTCAAGTGTAAAACAAAGCACAGTGTTTCATTTTTAAAAGTACTTACCAGGCCACATCAAATCATAAGTAAATAGTCTATCTTCTAAAATTATAAGGAATATTTTAGTAACACATCACTACCCCTAGTTCCTCACACCAAGACTTTGGGAATTGCAGGGAAGAGAATTTAAATTCCTATATTCTAGACTAGAAATTATGAAATTTAAAAGACTGAAATAATAATGTGCTTAATGTGTAAAACAGGACCCAATGCTTTGTTTTAGGTGGGAGAAGGCGAGAAATTGGTGAGAGCTCTTTTTGCTGTGGCTCGAGAACTTCAGCCTTCTATAATTTTTATAGGTAAGAACATGTTTTCTAACTAAATTAGTTGAATACAGTACTTGTGAAAGTTCCCTTTACAAATGTAAGAGGTAAATAGAACAGATTATTCAGAAGGAAAAAGTTTAGGTTAAAGACTAATGAATTCAGTAGCACCCACTATATTCATAACTTACATAGTACACTAGATTACTCTTAAATGATTCACATAGATTGGTCTTTAATTAAAGTCTTACCTTGTATTTCCTCTAGATGAAGTTGATAGCCTTTTGTGTGAAAGAAGAGAAGGGGAACATGATGCTAGTAGACGTCTAAAAACTGAATTTCTAATAGAATTTGATGGTGTAAGTATTACAGTATTTTAATGTGACAGCATTTTTTTTTCCTGTGAGATGATCCAAATTAGAAGTACATCTATCTTTTTAAAAGTTTCTTTATCTAAAAATACCCAAAAAAAACTGTCTCTGGCTTGTAGGTACAGTCTGCTGGAGATGACAGAGTACTTGTAATGGGTGCAACTAACAGACCACAAGAGCTTGATGAGGCTGTTCTCAGGTAGGCAGCTGTCTGGAAACGTGCACTTACGACAGATGTATGTGTTCTGTGTTCATCTCACACATACTCTCAGTTTCAAAATTAAATTATTTTCCTCCCTGTACTATCCTTTGGCCTCTAATTGCCATCTAAATAAAGATTTTAAGGTCAAGTCCAGGACAATATCAGGAGGACTAGTCTGTACTTTGTGATTTTAGGCAAATTGTTTAGTTTTCTTGGGTTGTACTAAATTATCTTTTAAACTCCAAAACTGGCCTCTTCTGCTGTGTTTCATGAGAAGCTGATCAAAGTAGGACTCGTGAGAACTATCTTTTCTGTTTTTATGTGTTTCAGCAAATTTATTCCCATCTCACGGTAAAGATAGTTTGATTTTGATTCAGCAGAAAATTCTTGAAGCTCCCCTATTTTTTCCACAAAATTTATAATACTGCTCCATTATTTCTGAGTTACAGTGTTTGCACAACTGTAAATAACTTCATTTTTTTGTTTTTGCTGAATACAAAACAATTTTTTTGTTTGTTTGTTTGTTTTTTGAGACAGGAACATGCTCTGTAGCAGGCTTGCCTTGAACTCACTATGTATCCCAGGCCGGCCTAAACTAGTGGTAATCCTCCAATCTCAGCCGCCCTAAACTCCTAAATTCCCCAGTGCTGGGATTAGAGGTGTGTGCCACCACACCTGGCACTGGATAGAATAGTCTTCTTTGTTTGTTTGTTTTTTGAGACAGGGTCTCACTATGTAGTTGAGACTGACCTGGAACTCAGTATGTAGCCCAGGTTGGTCTCCAACTCAATCCTCCTGCCTCAGCCTCCTCAGTGCTGGGATTACAGGGATGCACCACCACGCCTGGCTCTTTTTTTTTTTTTTTTTTTTAATAGCCAAACATTTATTGGTACATTTGGGCAAACATAATGATAACTCATCATAGGGAATATGCACCTATAAAAATACGCTTATTTAATTCTTCCTAGGATTTGATGTTTCTTTATATTTATAGTTTGGAAATTCACTTTGAATTCTATCTTTAACTTTCTTTCCTAATTCATTTTTTCTGTTTCTTTTTTTTCTTTTGCACATAAATTATATACATATTGTGTTGCATCTTGTCTCTGTATTGGTAATTTTCTTTATAATCCTTTTAAACTCTTAGGTCTTTTTGTTTTATTTTCTTCTGTTTATCAACTTTGTTGTTTTGTTGTTTTTATTTCTTAATGAGTTAGTATTTAATCTCCTTTCTGCTAGTTCCTTTTTAAGCTTTGTTTCTATAATTTTTTTCCTTGCTTTTCCAGACATTTCCTATTTTCCATCATCTTCTAAGACTTTGTATGTCATTTCTTTAAGCTCTTGTACCTCATTTGAGTTCTTATTTCATAAAAAGCCATTTTTTCTACATTAAACTGTTTCATTCTGTAGGGAAATATTTGGTCATAATTTGCCCTTATGGTACACTGTTCTTGTGCATGGCGTTCATTTTATCTACTTCACTGTGGTTTTTCTTTCTTTTAATGAACCCTGGAATTTTTTTCTATTTTTTATTTTCTTTAAATATTTTATTTTTCTTAGAAAACTTAGTTCTGGAAAGACTTTGTTGGTGAGGTCAGAAAACTTAAGAGATATACTGTGCAGGCTGAGGAACCAAAAGAGGCCAAAGTCCCTCCGTTTTAGCTAAACCAGATTAGATGCTCCATTATTCGGGCTGACCTTTAAACTCTACACATAGCCTTCCATTGCCAAAAAATAAATTAACCAAAAACCAGGTTTTTCAGGAATTATAACTGAACAATTTCCAAGAAGCACAACTGGGCGGTTTATTCCAGAAACTACAGCCAGGTCAAAGTATGGCGAAACCGACTGTGACAGTTAGATGACTAAGATAAATCTCCCACACAAACCCCTGCCCGCACCCAAATAATAGCCAATAAATTTAAAATATTACATCTTATAATATCCAATAATAAATTAAAATTATAGGCCAATAGAATCAACAAAAATTATTTAAAAAGCCAATAAAATAAAGAGAATTTCAAGCCACCCAAACCCTATAAAAATAGGCTAATTTAGTGGGTCAGGACTTCCAGTTTAAAGCCGCTGTGTCAATGACACTGGGAGTCCAGGCTCGAGCTTACAATAAACTCCTCATATATTTACATCAGAAGAGTTTCCTGGTGGTCTTCTTGGAGATTTCATGACTTGGACACAACACAGGCATCTTGAGTTGTCCCATGTATACCTTGCACTAAGCAGCAGTCAGTATGCAGCCCTACCTGATAATAAGTCTGTGTGTGTAAATAAAGATGGGGTTGGTTTCTGCTCTAGCCGGAGATACTGCTTCCTGCACAGCACCTCCTTATCCAGCCAGACTGGTTAAAGGCTTCTTACAAAGATCTTGTGTCTTTGAGTTTCTTTGCATAGCCCTACGTTCCTTGCCATTCTTGAGCTGTCAGGGTTCTCATAGTTTGCAAAGCCAGGCCTCACATGCTTGTTTAAATGTGAAGAGGTGGTTTTATTACCTGTGCTGTCTCCACTTTCTTGGGAGACTCTCCTGACAGCCGTTTCCATGATCTGCAGTGGTAGATCAGTGTGTATGTTCCTTCACCTATGTCATTTTCATCACCATATGCAGCCCTTCATATATATTAGTTTCATAAACATTACCTAGTTTGTTTAAGTTGGTATTTGTTTCTGTAATCTTCATTGGCTTTTGTAGTTTTCAGATTTGATAAGGCAACAGATATGTCTTTATTCTACTTATATATTTTGTTTTAAGGTATTATTGTTATTAAAATATACACATATATAAATAGCTAACCATTTGTTCCGTTAAAGATTTTTTTGATAACTTATAAGATGCATTCACTTGCCTTGAATATTATACTTAAAACTCTTTTCCTATCATTTGTTACTTGAGTTACTTTTAAATTCAAGATTATATTTATAAAATAAGTTTAATTTTTTTAGGCGGTTCATCAAACGGGTATATGTATCTTTACCAAATGAGGAGGTATGTATTTATTTATTTTAATTTTTTTTTTTTTTAAACAGAACTAGCATCTTGACAAGGATATTTGTTATATAAACAAGTCCATCTTCCAATCCATGATACCGCTACCTTGGAACAGTTTATCACTTCATTTAAAAGATAAACATAAATTTAGTATAAAACCTTATAAGAACTTACTCTAGAGAAATGAAAACATATCCACACCAAGACGTGTACAAGAATCTTTATAGCAGCCATACTGATACCAGAAACTACAAAGAAAAATATACATCAGTTGATGAATAAATACATGTGATTGAGCCATTTACTGAATAGGATTTTTCAATAAAATCCTGCATACAGTATAAACAAAAAAATACATACTAAGTGAAAGAAGCCACATGGTAACAATTACTATTATATGATTCAATTTATATGAAATTTCAAAAAAGGAAATTTTTCAGAAACCAAAAGCAAATCAGTGGTCTGCTAGGACAAGGTATAAGAGTGGGGATTAGTGATAAATTGGCATGAGTGAATTTTTTAGGGTAATAGAAATATTCTATAACTATTATGGTGATAGTGTACAAGTCTATAAATTTATAAAAAGTGAGATATTGGGCCAGGGATTTAGCTCACTGGTTCTGCCACCTGCCTCGCAAGCACAAGGACCCATGTTTGAGCCACAGTATCAGAAAAAAAAGTGGGTAAAATTCATGGTATATAAATTAATACTCCTGTAAAACTCTTTTAAAAAAAAGTATGGTTCTCTAGTTCAGACAGATGCTTTGTTTTGAGAGAGGGTCTTGCTATGTAGTTCAGGTTGGTCTCAAAACTGTTGACAGTCCTCCTGCCTCGGGCTCCTGAGTGCTGGGACTATAAGCATGCGCCATCACACAGCAACAGTGTTGACAGTGACAACTGCTACTTCCTTAGGGTTTTATTGGTATTATCTTTAATTCTCTCAAAAAACATAGTTTCAACTCCAGCAGGTAAGAGTGATGCTTTTAGGTGACATGATTTGAGCCAGATTACTGTTTTTTTATTAAGCCAATTCTTAGCTTGTTAAGAATTACTAATTTTGAATCAGGCATAGCACACACGTGTAATCCCAGTGCTAGGGAAAGTGAGGCAGGAGGACCACTATGAGTTGAAGGCTGTTGTCTGCTACAAAGTGAGTTCAAGGCCAACCTGAAGTACATAGTGAGCCCTGGCTCACAACACAAATAAAATAAAAATTAATTTTGATAATTCTGATATCAAATAAGACTACATTGATAATTTTTTTTTTTATGTTACTGGGAGTTGAACTCAGGGTCTTGAGCTTGCCAAGCAGGCATTATATTGGGCTAGGATTTAGCTCATTGGTTCTGCTGCCTACCAAATAGGCACTGTATTCACTAATAATTTTTTAATTCTTTTTCAGACAAGACTACTTTTACTTAAGAATCTGTTATGTAAACAAGGAAGTCCACTGACCCAAAAAGAACTAGCACAACTTGCTAGGTGAGTAATTGGATTTGATTTTATCTTTGATTTACTTATTCTTTGTGTAAAAATTTATTTGAAATAACCTCAAAGTATGAAATAGTAATTTGTCAGAAAACTTGTCTCATTCTCTACCTCTTTTTCCTTCTTACTTCTTCCTATATATGGTATTTAAATTTCAATTTCTTTGTCTTTTACTAGACTTGACCTAAATTTCTAGCGATGGTAATATATTCTTTCTATAAATTTTATAAATGGTATTAAAGTAATTAAAAAATGTAAAGCATCTCATATTTGCCCACACAAAAACAGATATTTCATGTAAATTTCTTTTCCATTAGGTAGAATTTGTTTGGACCTTTACATCCTAAAAAAGTTTTAAGGCAATAAGATGACTTTCTTCACCTGTAATCCCTCACCTGTAATCCTAACACTCTAGGAGGCTGAGGCAGGAGGATCACAAGTTTGACACCAACCTGTCAACTTAGCAAGAGCCTGCCTCAAAATAAAAAAAAAAGAATGGAGGTATAGCTCAGTGCAAAGGCCCTGGGGTCATTTCCCAATGCCATGTAAAAAGGAAGAGGCACTGCAGCAGGATCTTACAGTGGTGGACAGAGATTGGGCTCAACTTTGACACCAGCAAGGACAAGTGGAGTCTATAGTCAGGTAGCAAGGTGGATGGAGGTCAGCAGATGGAAAATAGTAACAGGAAACATCAAGGGTAAAGAGGTTTTTGCAAGACTGGATAGAATTCTTGGTGAAGGATGGCTAGGGTGACTGGATATCAGGGATGGTTAGATACTATGGGGAGAGATTTTTACTAAGCTCACTAAGCAGGATTCTTGCTCACAATGCATTCTACCACAAGCCCAAAATGAGCCCCATATTGAGCAGAGGGTTTAGAGGAACCTGATTAACATTATTAGATTATGCCAGGTGTGGTGGCGCACGCCTATAACCCCAGCACTCAGGGAGGCTGAGGCGGGAGGATCACTGTGAGTTCAAGACCAGCCTGGGCTGCATATTGAGTTCCAGGTCATTCTCAACTACATAGTGAAACCCTGTCTCAAAAAAACCAAAAAACCCAAAAAAAAAAAAAAAAATTATTAGATTATATCTTACACTCCTTTTTTTTTTTTTTTTTAAATCTTACACTTCTTTATGATAGTGAAATAGAAACTGGATGCACCTAAGGAATTTAGTCTTTGGAAAATGTCATAAAATAATTTAAAATATTTTAACTGAACGTGGTAGCACACATCCTAGCACTCGGGAGACTGGGGCAGGAGGATCACTGTGAGTTCAGGCCAGCCTGGACTACATAGGAAAACCCTGTCTCAAAAACAAACAAACTGGGGGTTGAACTCAGGATCTTGCACTTGGCAGGCAGGTGTGGAGCCAATGAGCTACATCCCCACCCCTCCCTGTTTTATTTTCCTCCTCACCTTTTGCCTCTCTGCCCTAGTTGTTCGTTTTGTTTGGTTGTTTCTTGGCTGCCACAGCGCTCTCTACCGTGGCATCCTATTCAAATGTGCCGCTTGTTTTTTGGCCAGTATCTTTTTTCTTTTTCTTTTTCTCTTTCTTTTTGTTTTCCTTTTCCTTTTTCTTTTTGGTACCGGGGATTAAACTTGGGTCCTTCTGCTTTCAAGGCAGGCAGCAGAACCACTGAGCTAAATCCAAGATTTGTCCAGTATCTAATACCCTTTACCCTTCCTGGCTGGGCATGGTGGTGCAGTGGCACATGGCTGTAATCCCAGCACTCAGGAGGAGGGGCAGGAGGATCACCATGATTTTGAGGATAGCCTGGGCTACGTAGTGAGTTTAGAGCCAGCCTGAACTACAGGAGATCTGGTCTCAAAACAAAAACAAAAACAGACAAACCACAGTATTCTCCTTTCTTTCTGTCCTACATTTAAAGAAATCTGCCTTGAGTGGCCTTGATAACATCAAGAGAGTTTTTCTGCCAAGGTAAAAAAACTAATTAATTTACAGTGAAGTAATTGCAATTATGTGTCCAGTTGATCACCAGTGGTTTGTAGATTTTTACCTTTCCAGAAGAAATGTTTATAATTTAATGAGACAAAACAAACAAATACAATTTAATGAGACCTCCAAGAGAATGTGCCTAAAAGAATTGTTGAAATATTGAAAGTTTAAGATATTACAGGAAGCAAGTAGTATACTGCTTCACTTTTAAAAAATGGGCCTGTGCCCTTAGAATCAAACCACATAACTGGTTGACAAAGGCAAAATTGTTTATACAGTGGACCCTCGAGATAGGACTGGCCGGACATACAAACAACTGGGTTACAACCAGAATTTTAGTGAACAAAGTCTTGAGTTTCAACCCAAATGCTGGCAACTTGTGCTTCCAGATCAGATACGGATTTAACCGTTAGAGTGCTGGAAGGAACATTATAGCGGTTTCCTGTGTGAGGTTAATGGAGAAACCCTGGGCCATTGTCTCTAAGGACACTGAGATCTGCCTGTGTACAGGAGAGAAACTTTGAAGGCTGTGGAGAGGAGCCTGAGCCTTCAGTTGACCAACTTGAGTTACAAACAGCCCTTACAAATGAACTGAGTTCGTAAGTCAAGGGTCTACTGTATTCTTATTTTGTGGAGATTTTTTAATCTGCAAAAATAATAGTAGTTTGCTGTTTCTTCCCTTCACTTTCCAGAATGACTGATGGATACTCAGGAAGTGATCTGACAGCTTTGGCGAAAGATGCAGCATTGGGACCTATCCGAGGTATGTATAGAACTGCTGTCCACACCCCTTTAGAAGTTAGAAAAGTCTCCACTGAGATCCTTTTTATTATCAGTATGAAAGTAGTAAAGCTGTATCAGTAGAAAACATGGGACAAAGTTTCTAGACTAGTGATCAGCAAACTTTTTAATCATCTTTTCTCTTTTGGAAAACTAAAAACAAGTAAAACCATTGTATATGAAGACAGTGTATGAGCCACTGGAACATGACTCCTGTTCTAGACGGTTTTACTTCTCAAGAGTAGGTAATGAGCTATAAGTTCAAAAGAAAGGAGAGCTTACATACTTATTTTGCAGTCTGAGGATCAGACCCAGTGCTTTGTGCATGCTAGGCAAGTGCTCTACCACCATGCTGTATCTTCAGCCCAAGAAAATGTTTTCAGCAAGCAAAAGGAAAAATAATGTGGAAAATGTTCTTGTCTGTTTTCTGGCTCTTTTCACTTGAAATTAGTGTGTCTAAAGTAACTTATATAAAGAAAAAAGCATTCCCTTCCTTTATGTCATCTTTCAAGGAATTGTTTTTATTTTATTATTTTTTTTTTTTTTTTTTTTTTTTTTTGTACTGGGGATCAAACTTGGATCCTTGCAAGGCAGGTGACAGAACCATTGAGCTAATTCCCTGGCCCTCATTGCTATATTTTGATTCAAATGAATAACCTGGTGATTTTGCTATATCACAACTGAGTTGTAGGTTAGATTAGATTTAATTCACTGTGATATCACACTAAAGTAGTAGAGAATAGTAGTAGCATAGTCTACATCATACAAAAACATTTTCCAGGCCCTGGAGACTTAGCTCAGTTGTTCTGCCGCCTGCCTCACAAGGGCAAGGTCTCAAGTTCGATTTCTGGTACCTAAATAAATAAATATGAAATAAAAACATTTTCCTTATAACAGTGCTCATCTGTGAGTTTGCTTTTTTTGTTTCATTTTGCAGCAATCAACTGTGGTTTGAAATATAGTACAGTATAATATACCTTGGACAGAGAACAAGAGGCCACATTAATAGAACTTTGATTACAGAGTAAACACTTTCTTTGACAGTGGATCAGAAGCAGTAGCTAATGTATAAGTCATTTGTATTTTTCAAATTTTTTAGAACATTTTAACATTTATTATTCTGAAGAGACAATGGCTTTGGGTTAAAAACCAACCTGATGTCTTTTGTGAAGAACAAGTTGCATTCTTTTAAGTTGTCTTTCAAACTTGTAAATTCTATTGTTTCTGAGCATTATGCAAGAAATTGAATTTGTCCTGTGTACTCCTAAGAAAGAATACTATTCTGTTGTAAATATTTATAAATTGTATTTGCTGTTGATGTTCATGTGTCTCTCCTTTAACCTGATGATTTAACAGCTGTTGTTGTATTTGAATTTTCCCTTTAAGCAATTTAACTTAATAGTCTTTTGTTTTTTTTTAAGTATGACTTTTTTATATTTTACAGAGCTGAAACCAGAACAGGTGAAGAATATGTCTGCTAGTGAGGTAAACAATTTATAATTATCCTTTCTTTGACTTGGTTCTCTGAGACTTAAATTTTTATTCGCTCTCTCTTTTTTTTTTTTTTTGTACTGGGGATTGAACTAGTGCACTTGCAAGGCAGGCCTCCGAACCACTGAGCTAAATCCCCGGCCACTGAGACTTAAATTTTTTTTGCCTGGAGTTTTCTAGTTTGTTTGACTAGAAAGAAGAAAAAATTAATTTTTCTTTATTTCCAAATGTGGATCCTATGCAGTCCCTTTTGTTGTTCTTTGATAATGGGAAAAATGCATAGTGATTAAGTCATTTTTCATCAAATATTATATAAATACTAAATATTTTAAAACTATACAAATAACCTATGATTATAGATCACATTTTTATTTTGTTAGTTTTAATAATCTTTACTTTTTTTCTCTTTTTATAAAGCCAATACAATCATTATTGTAATATGTTATTGTATTTTGTTAATAGAGAAGGTCCCCTCTGAAATGCTGAAGCATTTCTTTGGGGAAAAATTACATGCAGAATATAAAACTGAATACAAAAAAAGAAGTAAGATGTGTGATGGGCATGTACCAACTCCCCACAATGAATGTAATCGTTATGTACTAAAACATACACTAATAAAAATTAAAATTAGGCCGGGGATTTAGCTCAGTGGTTCCATGGCCTGCCTTGCAAGTGCAAGGACCAGAGTTCAATCCCCAGTACCAAAAAAAAAAAAAAAAATTAAATTAAATTAAAAAACTAATGTGATATGAAGAAAAAAATAATTGCATAAGTACTTTGCTAATAAGTATGTGAACAAATTTTTGAAATTAAACTTGAACTATATTTGTAACTTACCTGTTAGAGGTATTTTTTGCTCAAGTTCCAATAGCTATTGAGATGGTGAACGGTTAACAGAGAATGAGTGTATGCAAGTACATTTTGACAGTCTTCAAGCTTCTGGCTAATCTTGTGGTTGTCCGATGAGGCATCTTTATATTGTGGTTAATCAGCTGCCTTATTCACAAAGCCATCACACTTGTGCTTTCACTTACTCTCTGTCTCTTCTGGTGCTGGGGATAGAACTCAGGGCTTCATACATGCTAGACAAGTGCTCTATCACTGAGCTGTAACTCTAGATCCCTCTCCTGTTTTAATTATCTAGTTTAAATAGGATGCATTGGACATAAATGAAGATAGTATATACTAGTTGATGTTTTGTCTAAAATTCTCTCTGATTTCTTATTTTTGGGCCAAATATATGGAGACATATACTAGTGACAGTTTTTAACACAGGTCATTTTTGTGCCACACTGTATTTTGTCTTTAAAATACTTAGCTCTAGGACAGTGATGGCAAACTTTTTGTTGCTTTCAATGATAAAAACAACCTGCTACAGCACACGAACCATAGGTTCACCACCCCTAGTCTAGGGGTGTAGCTCAGTGGCAGTGAATGTACTTAACATGTGAGGCCCTGGGTTCATTTCCCAGCACCAAAAAATAAATAATATTTAGGTAAATATATTCATTGAGTCAGCATTTACTCAGTCTACAGTTCAAAAGTCAATTTAAAATGTCAAGAAGTAAAACCAAATTAATATAAAATGCATTATAAACTTTTTTTTTTTTTTTTTTTTTTTTTTT